TTACAACCATCAATATAATATCTACTATTAACATTATTATATACTGTACTCACTATATTATATTTACCTTGTGTACAGTCAATTGATATAAAACCTGGTTACAACCATCAATATAATATCTACTGTTAATATTATTATATTCTGTACTCACTATATTATATTTATCTTGTGTACAGTCAATTGATATAAAACCTGGTTACAACCATCAATATAATATCTACCATTAATATCAATATAATATCTACTATTAATATTATTATATGCTGTATTCACTGTATTATATTTACCTTGTGTACAGTCAGTTGATATAAAACCTGGTTGACAACCATCAATATGATATCTAACATTAATATTATTATATACTGTACTCATTATATTATATTTACATTGTTTACAGTCAATTGATATAAAACCTGGTTTACAACCATCAATATAATATCTACCATTAATATTATTATTTACTGTACTCTCTATATTATATTTACCTTGTGTACAGTCAGTTGATATAAAACCTGGTTGACAACCATCAATATAATATCAACCATTCATATTATTATATACTGTACTCACTATATTATATTTACTTTGTGTACAGTCAATTGATATAAAACCTGGCTTACAACCATCAATATAATATCTACCATTAATATTATTATATACTGTACTCACTATATTATATTTACCTTGTGTACAGTCAATTGATATAAAACCTGGCTTACAACCATCAATATAATATCTACCATTAATATTATTATATACTGTACTCACTATATTATATTTACCTTGTGTACAGTCAATTGATATAAAACCTGGTTACAACCATCAATATAATATCTACTATTAATATTATTATATACTGTACTCACTATATTATATTTACCTTGTGTACAGTCAATTGATATAAAACCTGGTTGACAACCATCAATATATATCTACTATTAATATTATTATATACTGTACTCACTATATTATATTTACCTTGTGTACAGTCAATTAATATAAAACCTGGTCTACAACCTTCAATATAATATCTACCTTCAATATAATATCTACCATTAATATTATTATATACTGTACTCACTATATTATATTTACCTTGTTTACAGTCAATCGATATAAAACCTGGTTGACAACCATCAATATAATATCTACCATTAATATTATTATATACTGTATTCACTATATTATATTTACCTTGTTTACAGTCAATTGATATAAAACCTGGTTTATAACTATCAATATAATATCTACTATTAATATTATTAGATACTGTACTCACTATATTATATTTACTTTGTGTACAGTCAATTGATATAAAACCTGGTTGATAACCATCAATATAATATCTACCATTAATATTATTATATACTATATTCACTATATTATATTTACCTTGTTTACAGTCAATTAATATAAAACCTGGTTTACAACCATCAATATAATATCTACCATTAATATTATTATATACTGTATTCACTATCTTATATTTCCCCTGTGTACAGTCAGTTGATATAAAACCTGGTTTATAACTATCAATATAATATCTACTATTAATATTATTATATACTGTACTCACTATATTATATTTACCTTGTGTACAGTCAATTGATATAAAACCTGGTTGACAACCATCAATATGATATCTACCATTAATATTATTATATACTGTACTCACTATATTATATTTACCTTGTGTACAGTCAATTGATATAAAACCTGGTTACATCCATCAATATAATATCTACTATTAATATTATTATATGCTGTATTCACTGTATTATATTTACCTTGTGTACAGTCAATTGATATAAAACCTGGTTACAACCATCAATATAATATCTACTATTAATATTATTATATGCTGTATTCACTGTATTATATTTACCTTGTGTACAGTCAATTGATATAAAACCTGGTTGACAACCATCAATATGATATCTACCATTAATATTATTATATACTGTACTCACTATATTATATTTACCTTGTGTACAGTCAATTGATATAAAACCTGGTTACAACCATCAATATAATATCTACTATTAATATTATTATATGCTGTATTCACTGTATTATATTTACCTTGTGTACAGTCAATTGATATAAAACCTGGTTGACAACCATCAATATAATATCTACTATTAATATTATTATATGCTGTATTCACTGTATTATATTTACCTTGTGTACAGTCAATTGATATAAAACCTGGTTTACAACCATCAACACAAGTGCCATTCATACTGTCACAAGTTTGATTCTGTAAACAATTTCTATCAGTACACATTTTCGAACACTCTTTGCCGTAAGAGGCTTCGGGGCATTCTGAAAAATTGAGATAATATTTAAATAATTAATTGACTTGATACACATAATAATTCTTTGAATTTAGTGAAATTGACTAATAGTCTAAAAAGCCACTTTTTTACCAATATCCCTACAACACAATTTGAATTAAACGTTTGTGCATTAATTGAACGAAAAACTCTTGATTTAGTTGTTAGTTGTGTATCGTGAACATCATTGGTTTGTTCAATTTGTCGTTCTTATTAATAGATTGCTACTTACGTTTTGTACAATCAACACCACTAAAACCAGGTTTACAACCCGCTGTACAATTTCCTGAGATATGATTACATTCAGTGGAACCATTACAATTTCTATCATTACAGGATCTACTACAGTTTATACCATACATTGTCTTATCACACTCTGTAAGATAATTTAATTTTATAATTGAAAAGGAACAAATTCAAATTACTAATAACTAAGCAAAGGTTTGGGAAGTTTCGAGCAACAGTCCTGCGCTCAGAAAATTCAAAACTTAACAAAGCTCTTTTTATACTAATGACTTGTGATATCAATAAGCCACGACTGAAACTGAATTAGTTGTAGTTGTTAAATTTCAAAATCACAACAACAAAAAAATATGTGTGAGGTTATCAATTAAAATAAGAATCATCAGCCGCAAATAACAAACTGGATTTTGGGTTGAAGCCAAGATACCACTTTTATTTCAATATTTCCAATTTCTTTTTCAAAACCAAGATATTCTCTTAATGACAATATTGTAGCACATTTATCAAAGTTACCAACATTTCTATCTGGGATAGTCTCCTTGAAAGCTAATTAAAAATATTTACGACCTAGACAAAATTACATTAAATAATTGTTTTCTATATTTCGACTTTAGTACACCATTCACCACGAAACATGCAAATATCTGTAAGTGGATATTTTATGTCAATACAATACTTACTCTGGTTACAAAGTTCTGGTTTAAACCTGGTTTACATCCACCGATACATGTACCATTCATATTGTTACATTCTAGATTTAAACAGTTGTTAGAACAAAGTTGTGAACAATTGCTACCGTACGTTCTAGATGGACATTCTGTAATTATATACATGAAGATTATAGTGAGTTAAATAGTTGAAAAATGTCCGAATTAAAACACAGACTTATTACAATAGATCACATATTAATAAGTTTTATAATATTGCCTGAATCATTCCTTTTTCAATATACCGGGTTTACTTATTTCGAAACTGCCAAAACTTCTGGTCTTTTGATAATATTCCTA